CTTGCCGGGCGGCCCGAACCCGCGGCAACGAAGGCCTTGGCCCTCCCGACACCGGTGCGAAGACGAGGAAGCGGGTGGAGCCTTCGTCAGCGTCGAGACGACGCGCGCCGTCGTTCAGGTTCGAGCGTGCGGAGCGTGTGGTCCGGTCGAGGCCGAATTAGGCCGACCGTTCGCTTCCGTCGGGGTGGAAAGGCGGCCCGCCGTCCCCCGCGGGCGTTCGCCGTGCGCGGCGATGAAGCGCGAGCGGCGCCTTTCTGCGGCACCGTCACCGACGAGGCGACGCGCGCGCGCTTGGCCGTGTGCGTTGCCGGTATGTCCTCGGCGTCAGCGTCGACGGCCTTCTTCGACGCGAGCCAGAAGCCGACGGTGCCGTCGTTGGACGCCGTCAGGAGCCGCTTCGAGGGGCCGTGGGCCGCGAGGCTGTTGATCTTCTGCTTGTGCCCGTGCAGCTCGAGCGTCGGCTTGAGCTCGCCCGACAGCCGGTCCGCTGCCTCGGTGTACTTCCAGACGACAATCTTCTGGTCGAGACCGGCGGATGCGATCTGTGTCGAGCTCAGAAACTTGGCCGACGTGAGCATTTTGGCGTGACCGCCACCGCGGGCCGCCGCCGAGGTGGCCAGCGCCGAGCCGGACCCGTCCCATATCCTGACGAGACCGTCGTAGCTGGCGGAGAGTATGCGGTCCTGGCCCTGGATCAGGTCTTCGCCAGACCAGCGGCCGGCGGCCGAGGTGGCGGAGAGGACATCGACCGAGGCAACCCAGTCGTCATGCTGGAACGAGGCCTCGTACGTGGGCGGCAGCAGGGAGCGAACATATTGTAGCGTGATGGTGGTTTCGGAGGAAAGTCCCTCGGTCTGCAGGTACTCTTCGAGGGTTGTGCGGAGAAACGTGCCATTGACAAGGAAGTCGAGAGGGACCGGTGCGGATGTGTTGAGCATAGACTCCGAGTTGAGAATGCGGGAGAGGCCATATCGCTTGATGTCTGCTTTCGTCAGTTCAGATGCACTTCCAGGGCCTAATTGTGCCAAGTTTACTGACCGGACGGCACGAGAAGTTGCCTCTTGTTCTCAGGCAGTTGGAGGTCTTCATGGGTGGTGGTGAAGTTGACCTTCACCTGAGCCGCGGTGGACTCCATGTCGGATACGCAGGGGCCTGGAAATGCGTGGGTGGCTTGTTCTTGGGTTCGGGATCGGGATTCTGCAGATAGTGCGGCTCTGATTCGAGTGTGTCAATTTGGGCGCGTGGGCAGCGAACGTTGTTGGTCGTGTCGTCTGTTGGATGCTTGGGTGGATATCTCCATGCAGAAGGGATCTGGATATTTTTTGAAGAAAATTGTTGTCAGCCTTGCAGCCATCTCCACCCCCACCAGTGAGTTTCATGTCCAATCACAACGCCGATTGAGTGGCAAGGCTGATGATGCCCCGCCCTTTTTTTTTTTTTTACCTTGGCTCATCATCGCTGTGGTCCAGTTCATCACAGCATGTATGCCTCATTCATGTCAATCTCCCACCTGAGAACATTGACCTGAGCAAAATTTGGATAGCTACCGGCCTAGCTCAATACCTCATCGTACATAACAAAAGTACAAATTTTGCCCGGTTCCAGGTCCTAGCATGCGCATACTTCGCTTGCCGATCGAGGAACCTCCCTCCTACACCAAGTGCCTCTGTCTTGTTCGTTGCCTTCTTCAACCGGGACCGTGTCGACTGGCTACTCGAACGGATTCTGGGCTGTGTTCTTCACGTCCAACAAAAATGCCTCTTCGATGGCTGACTTGCGCTCAAACACACGCAGCCAGCGCGCGCCCCAGCGCTGAAGGTGAGCCTTGCGCTCCTCACTGTTCGGCTCGTCCAACATTTCATCCTTGATTCCCGCCTTCCAGCTTGACAGAGCATCTTTGAGCGATGTGAACAAGTCTCTCATGGCTTTCTTGTCGAGCTCCTTGCTTGCCTCAGCATCCGCATCGAGTTCCGGAGCAGTCATGATCTGACGAACGCGGCCCGTCACCTTGGTCACGGTGTTGGACACGAGCTCGAAAACGTGCGCCTCGGCCAGTGCATCGCCCTCGCGCTCGCTGTGGTTGTAGACGAGCGACCATTCAATAACCGACAAGGGCGTCAAGATGGAGTAGTTGAGCAGCTTCTCGATGATTGAGATGGCAACGCCCGGTTGTGCTCGCCAGTATGCCATGACGGCGGTGATGATCTGCGCGCGAGCCGCTTCCGACGCGGCACCAATGTCCAATAAGCGGTCCTTAACACGCTCAATGCAAGCCAGCACGTGGCTCAGGGATTTGGAGCCGACCCAGCAGACAGCCGTGACGAAAACATCTGTGCTGGTGACCAGCGCATCCAAGCTATGCTCCGTCGCGGCTGCATGGATTCGGTCGAGCACGGGTTGGAACTCTTCGTCAGGCACCTTGCGCTTGAGGAGAGCCGCCAGCTCTCGGCCCTCGGCAGAGAACGGCGTGGCTGCGAACTAGTTAGCGATTTCTGGTCAACGGGGGATACGTTGCCACCTGGCTACTCACTCTCGTCAGAGAACTTGAAGTCGGGGACGTCCTTCTCCGTGTCAGGTGAGATCAAGCTCTGGTATTCTTCGGGAAGCGTGTTCTTGATGCGCTGAGCAAAGCTCAACCTGATTTCCTTGTCGAGGGCACCTCTGATGAACGCCTTGGACGGGTGAATATCAGGCAAGAACACGTCATTGACCCATTCGGTCCATTTCCACGTGAAGCCAAAGTTGCTCAGGTGGTGCGCGAACCAGTCAAGGAACCTGTTGCTCAGTTCCAAGTCCATCTGGCTCTGAGCGTGATACAGA